TTTTGCCAAAGTGAGCAGTCCCTTAACACAGGAGGGAATGGCTGCACAATGATCAAAACCCTGTGTCACTACCACTGGGAATAACCAGTGTTCGGCAAAAGGCTGATAGTCTTCATACTCAAGCAGTTTCATTCTAAACTTCTCTCAAGATGCACACACTCCGAAGCGCAAGCAATGCAGTGTCACAGAGAAGGGAAGTGACAGGTTCACTGTTGCAACATGAGATCTTTTAAAACATCCTCTGACACACAGAAACACCCGCTTACATACGGCTCACACACACACACACACACACACACACACACACACACACACACACACTCAAACTGAGTTACAGTCATACCAGTCATAATTCAAGTGATGAGCCTGGAGTGAAGCTGTTACATAAAGGAGGAAGGGGAAAGATTCCGTAGATTTTGCTGAAGTGCCCTTGATCAAGGCACTCAACCTGCTGCTTAATCTGTTAGATTAAGTTGTACCACTGTGAGAAGCCTCTTGGTGCGTGGGTGTGTATACATGTGTGCAAAGCAGAGGTAGAATGATGCAATGCTAATGAGTCAAATCTTAGTCTCTAGACAAGTGCGAGGGAGTTTCATTCATGGTCTCCACAGCAGCAGGTGGTTTGACTGCTTCTCCAGTGGATTTTTATTTATCGACCATTTGTTGTTTTAGTTTGATCAAATATTGAAAACAAAAGCCTGTCATCTCGCACAGCAGACACAGCCAGCCTCCGATTGTATTTGTGTCAAAATATGAATTACACGAAGGACAGTCTGGGTTTAGATTCCCGGATAGATATGTAGATTTTACATTATTATCATTGAAGAAGATTTCTCAAACACAATTAGAAAACCGATCCTGGTTTTATTTGTTTTGTCATATCACGTTCTCTTTGCTACTGTAAAATTGGGCTTTTGATGTTCTTCTGAAAAAACTTAAATAAGAGAGTGACAGGGACGCCTATAGCTTGCCTGCCTGAGCTGAGTTTCGACAAGTTCTCCAACCTGCTGTGGCTTGTTTGAGAGGCCACATTCTCAGTGAGGTGGGTCAACAAAGGGTTACACGATCTGTCAGTTCTCTAACCTGCATCCACACACACACACACACACACACACGCACAAACTGAAATGCACACACACGGATGTTCATTTGAATATAAAGAAACCATCGACTGCTAAGTATGCAAGAACAGGTTTCAACACAGACAGACCCCTGGAAACACACACAAGTTGTTTTTTTGTGCAAAACTCAAATTCACCCATCCAGAAGTGATCACAGCTGAAGTTTCTGAGGAAGAGTTGATCGCATGCACACATACCGCCTCAACAGCCCTTATTTGCATGTTTCCCCTCTGCACATTATTGGTCATAGTCTTTTGCCTAATCGTGTGTTTGCATATGTGTGTGTGTGTGTGTGTGTGTGTGTGTGTGTGTGTGTGTGTGTTGGTGTGAGAGCTTCAGAACCAGAAGCAGACATGCATTCATGCTACATGCATTCCCTCAACATGCACATAAAAAAAACACTGTTAGTGTCACAAACTGTGCGACAACCTCCCTCTGTAAATGCAAATGAGTGTAACTGTATTTTGAACAGATCGGGTGATGTTCCTCCGCCGAAAAGGGTCAACCGAACGCAAATCTGAAAAGGAAATGATTTACTGTTATCAGTGAGGTGTGAAGATAATATGTCACAACATGTTGTTTTTGTCAATGAATATAGCCAAAGGGAAGGGAGCAAATATGCAATGTAGAAATTTCTGAATGTAACATTAATCTGTTGAATTTCATCACCACTGTCGTGACAAAAAGAGCTGTCCTTCTGATATTAAAGAATGGGCGGATTCACAGCCTGTTTTTGAGTTTGCACGCCAAAGCGTTTCTTTAGAAATCATGAAATCCATCACAGAGTTCGGTGGAAGGCGGCAAAACAAGGTGGAGTTTTGATTCCAGCGTATTTGACGGAAAGATGAAACCAGGTGACAAAAGGGTGGGGGAGGGGGTTCCCAATGCCCTCCATGTCAGCGAGTGAAAGCTTATGTTGTCAGAAGCTAATGAAATCCAGCTGTTTGGGTCAGTCACCCTAGCCAGACCTGTTGCTTCCTTCAACATAAAGGTCCTGTGACTGCCTGCGCCGTGGACAGCCATGAAGAAATTCCAATTACCTCAAAAGCTTTACATGACATTCAGGCATTACATTGACACCCAACGTGACTTGCAGTGCAATGATTACAATATGCTGGAATAAGCTTCAGTTTCTCCTAGATTGCTCAAAGACATGAGCCAATGACAGCTCATTCCTGAGTCAGCTAAAGATTAGCATTTTTTACCAGCAAAGTGTGATTCACACTGATATGTTCTGCTCTGTTGGGCACATGGAAAGTCACAGGCGTAGCGTAGCTGCAATACTGAGCAAATTATCTCACTATGAACAGTGGAAGCTTAGATAACGGCCATATTTGATAAGATAAGGTTTCACAGCCCATTGGCCAGAGTTGATTTTATGGCATATTGGCTGCTTTTGCAAAAGAACATTTGTATAAATATCTGAAGTAAGTAGAAAGTGTGAAGCATGTTTTTAGCATGCCATTGAATGGGCTTATAAGTGGGCCAGCTGCTAATGTAAAAGTCCTCACAATTTCATGGGAAATGTGTCATTACGCTGAACAAAAAGAATAGTTAGAAGCCTCAGGTTTTGTGCCGACACAGTTATATTTCAAATTACTATGGAACCCACTTTGAAAAACCAATTCACTTTGAATAATGGAGCCATGAAACAGTTGGATGCCTGATAGGAAGCGAATAGGTCTCAGAGTGATTGCTTTTCATCGATTTATTTATTCACAGTGAGAGAATGTTATGCTCCAATCAGGGGAATCCCTCTTTGGAGTGTTTTCATTTCAAGGGCCTTGGTGTTAAGTTGTTTGGACCCCTGCAGTCGAAAACAGACGGGAAGTCCCACGAAGGAAAGTGAACAATAGTGTGCAATATAGGGAGTCTTCCTCCTATTTGAGGAGGTAGACTTACATGTACGAGCAGGATGAAAACATTATCCTGGTCTGATTATCGTTGCCAGAGGCGCTGCAGCTCAATATCAGGATGTGTAGATCTAATAAACAGACGAAATGTTGGATTCTAAAGTGTCCTGATGTGCACTGACTTTAACCTTTAGACCCAAAGAAAAACAAAAAATATAGAATGAAAAACAGCCCATGATCATATCGTTTTATATACTTCAGGTGATTCCCTCTGTTTACTGCAGTAATCTGTCATAAACTAGAGTAAAACAATATCAAGTCATTTTAGGATTGTTAGACCCATTATAATACATATGTGCCTAAGAAATATTGTAGGAATGTCATAGTTTAAAAAAAAATGAGGAGTCAAGAGCTTGTCTGACACTAGTGGTGATGAGGGCGTCAGAGAGTGAGCAAGTGAAGGCCACACACACACACACACACACACACACACACACACACACACACACACAAACACACACACAATGAGAGAGGAGAGACTGAATGAACACACACGAGATAATTAGGCATCATTAAAAAAGGTTGACTATGGATGTGTCATACGTGACACTGCGGGTTGTTGAATGGATACTCAGGATACCGGAGTACTGGAGTTTACTGCTGGCAAAATTCTGTTAAGACAACCAGAATAAACCGTAGTGCTTCCGGTGTAATCTTTCAACATAAAACTCCTATTAATGAAAATGAAGCAGCCCCTCCGCCAAAGAGTTTCACTTCAGAATAATGTGATTTTGACTCAGCGTTACGAAGGTAATTTTTAAAGTGCAATATGACTTTGACATGACTGTATCCATGATTTTTTATTTATGTATGCTCATGTTTAGGGAAACCACATCTATACAATGATATACAAAGATATTTTAAACAAGAAATTGAATTATCCAGTAAGTTAATGATTGCAGTTTCTTAAATCAGCAAATCATTTGAATTGGTAAATGTAGGAGAGGAATTAAACTAAAAACATAGTTTCCTACAACAACCTGATCAGTTAAAAAAAATAAAAGTCATAAACTACACACAGTGACCCACAGTTATATCTCTTTATTTTTAAAACATATAATACTGAATGTCTGAGAGCTCACAACTGTTGTAGCAAACCAGAAAAAGAAGGTGAGAGATGTTTCCTCTCCTTCCCCGGCTCTGTTTGTTGGACACAGCAGGTTCACAGCTGGATCTCTGTCACATCAAACAGATGCAGACTGCGGCCACTGCTGTCCTCAATTAAATAATAACAACACAAGACAAATAAGAGGTGTGGCACGAGTAAATAGCGTGAGAGCTGCTGCAGGATGTCCTCAGAAAACACCCATGTGGCCTAAAACAAAGTGATTATGTACTCAACAATAGCACTATTTTGTGGAGTAGATTAAACACACTTGGGTGGATTTAATGGAGTCGCTCCCGGTGGTGGAAAGTACATTTACTCACAGTACTGTACTAACGAACACATTTGAAGTACTTGTGCTTTACTTTAGTATTTCCATTTTATGATACTTTATGACATAGAAGTCAGAGAAAAATATTGTCCTTTTTACTCCACTACATTAATCTAATAGCTTTTGTTACCAGTTAAATTGCAGATTTAGATTAATGATAGAAATAACGATAAGACTTTAATGATCCCTTGGTGAACTCCACAATCTACCATAAGCCCCTCCTTTACCGACTGCATCATTAAAGTACTGTGCATATTAATCCATCCATAACTATGATTAAATAATATCATATACACTATTCTGAAATGGGTCAGTCTGCATAATGAGTATAATTGGTACTTTAAGTAAATTTCGACGCTCATACTTTTGTGAGTTTACTAAGTAAGACTTCCACTGGTCGTTCCTCTACGCACAGACCTGACCAGTGCGTTTTGGATGATAAATCGTATTTGTGTTTTAATTTGAAAGAACGAGCCCTCTTCCTGTATCGTCCGGCGGTGCGCTTGACGCGACACGTCTGCGTGAAAGCCCTGCCGTCCGCCTTGTCGAGTCATCGCCAGAGAAGAGCAGAGAGCAGACGAAGCCGCCGTCCGATGGCTTGAAAACGGGGAAGAACTGTGGATCACAGCGGATTTATTGCGCCACAGAAGCGAAACGGCGGTCACGGGAGCAGACTACATGTTGCTGCGGATGAGGATAAAGCGCCTTTGAGTGAAACTCTTGCCTTTTTTTTTTTTTGGTTGCGGCTGCAGACCCGGACACAGACAACACGGAGACAGACTGAAGTACCAGAGCCGCCGCGGACACCAGCGAGCGAACTTGGCTTCTCTGCCCCGGTGGGAGGTGTCTGTCTGTCGGCTGCGGCTCGCTGCACGTACCGCTCACCACCACGCTGTTGGGACCTCTTTTTTTTTTTTTTTTTTTTTTTTTTTGTTGGTGAAAGGATAAGCTTGTAGCTAAGTTATGTTTTTGTAAATAGACAATTTTTTTTCGGGCAACCAACTGTGACTTTAATGTGACGCACTAAAGTGACAGTGCGCGTCGGAGCGGACCCTCCACTGCAGAGGAGTAACAGGCTTTCACATCAAGTTTTAACCTTCGTTTTTACGGAGCCAATACTGCTCACACCGATGTAAAAGGTAACGGTGCATTTTTGGGGGTGTCGTTTCATCATAAACGCTTTGTACGAATCGTGACTGGTCGTTGCTTGTGTCTTGTTTTGCCTGTGGGCAAAGTTAGCTGCATAGCCTCAAGTTTTTTTTGTTTTTTTTTGGAGTTCCTGAACAGGCAGTGAACCTCTCACTGCACGTATCTTTAGCTTCAACTCTCTCCAGTAACTTGCACACCTTTTCTTTTTCTACCCATGTAACAATCACATGTTCACACAAGTTAAAAACACATATTGTCATAAGTTCTCTTACGGCTCTCGTGCATTTTCGCAGAGAACTTTAATTGCTCATGTGCTCATTTTAACCTTTAATGAGAGCAACTTAAAGAATGCAATTAATCAAGTGTCGGCATGGACTGGTGACGTGTTGGTGATCCCGATATCAAATCCTTTTTTATTGTATTTTAATGATAATGTAGACTTTTTTTTTTTTTTTAATTTTTTTTTTAGATCCCAGCCATCTACTTCTTCTTTATGTAAAGCACGTTAGGCCACGCGACGCTGGCCATGCTTGAATGTTTATGCGCGTTATATATTTGCAACAGAGGAACGGACAGGTGTGAAGATACTGTATCAGAAGAAAGTTACATGATACAAGTGCTGCAACTCAATATTGACATATTTTTTATATATTCTTTTAATACATTTGAGCGTTTGCGTGTTATTGTGTAAGCTAGCAAGACTAGTTTAGTTCTGAAAGGAACTGATGGGTCGAAGCAGCACACCTGTGTGTAATTAAGTGTACATGCATACCTACTTAAAATAGTCAGCATTTACATTAGTTTGAATTATAATGTTGCACACTGTACATTGAAATTGTCAGACTATTATATCTTGGTTATTCAAAATTTAAAATGAATATTTGATTTATATTATATTTATATTTGCCCTTATGTTAATGTTAGAGTAACACCTAACACCCCCTAGCTGTTGTCACTGTAAAAACAAACTAAACTAAACCACGTGTCATAATCATAACAAGTAGGCAGATGATTTGTTTTCTCCTATGGTTGAATACATCGCCTCTCTTAGCCCAGAGGGCAGTCGGGTGCCATTAAATGCAAAATTGGGATCATGTCAAGGAGAAGCAGACAACCTGTACATAACATATCATTATGCTAATAGTCAAATTGCATATAAAGCTGCACAGGACCTATTGGAAAGGTAGAAACCAGCCGTAAGGCACATGCACCTACTGTAGCCTCTTCAGTGCTCATCCCTCACCCACCTCCCTTAATTGAGGCAATATACAGGAGCCTGTGGGGCCCACATTACTCTCTGGTGCTGTGCATGGTCACTACTAGAGAACCATTAAGACGCATTTAACCCAGTGAAATTTAAAGCATGTGTCATATTCTGTGTTGCAGAGCAATCTGACTTATTTACACGAGATTATTCTGGCTGTCTGGCAGACTTTGTTTTGCTATTAAGTGATCATCACACACCATCTGGGTTGATATCATAAAGAGGTTTGTGCAGTCTACAGAGACACGTACAGACTATGCAGAGTCGCTTAGTGCAGTTTAAATCCCCATTCATGGGCACAGATCTAATTGAAGAACCTCTATAGATGACTAAGTGAAAATGTGACGATTATTCTGCGTGTCTCTTTGTTGCCGATAAGGCTTCCTTGCGAATAAGACTTGTGAAAACCTGTTTTATACATGAGTTAATGCACTGTGAAGCCGAAGCAGCTGCTGCACCTCTGTTCCAGTGCTACCGTGATAACTAACAGAGCAGACGTTATCTCCAGGATGTTGTGTAAGGCCAATTCAGTAAGCGTATTCCTTACCAATTAGTTTTCTGTAATGCAATATGGCAAAGTGATATATTGTACACTCTGTGTGGCGGTTCGAGCTCCATCACTCTTGAGGCCCCCCCCCAACCTTGAGGTCAGCCCGGCAGTGGTGACTTTGGGCTAAATTTGGAGCGTGGAGCGATTAGGCGCTCACTCTGCTGCATCACTGCATTAACTACACGGGGGCAATTGGGGAGGGGGATGCAGATCTCTTTCTTGTTAGCGAGCTTGAGTTGGAGATTAAAGGTCGTGCTCAACCCAAGTAAAAATATTCACTGATGAAATCCCAAACAAAGAGTTGTTTTGTGGACCCAAAGTCGACCTAATTTGGAATAATTAACTGCTTAAGACGGTGCTTTAATTAATGGGACGCCCTACTTTTTCTTGTCCCGGTCTAGTTTTACCTACCGACTTGTTTAGAAGCATCCAAACAAGGGTCTGATCTCTGCTTGGTGTTTTGGTGGAGCGGACAGATTTGTGATCCGCTACCAAAAACCTGTGGCAGCATTTGGCTGATTTCTCACCCGGCCTCTGTCACTCGTATAGCGGATCGCTGGCCAAATGGTGGTAAAGTGTTACAGAATCTGGTAGCGATGTTCTACCAGCCACTTTGGCAATGAACCAAGTATAATTTGGGGGTCCCTTGAAGTTGTTTGGGTCAGTTAAGTAGTCCAGTGAAAGCAGATGGTGAATTAGAAAATATAGCTCCATCTTACAGCTCTTTTTTCTCTCTTTTTATTTCCAGTGACGAGGGCCGAAGCGGATCAAGCTGGGCCAGGCTAGGCCGGGCTAGGCCTACCTAACCCTACTGTCTGGCCTCTACGGGCGGGCCAGCAACCTCTCTGGGGAGTCCCATCTTCAGCGAGTACCGGGGGGCTTCAGCCTGTTCTCACAGAAACTTCACCAGACCTCCACGTCAGGCCGTAACGGATTGGATTCCAGTCGTGTTTTTGCTTCGTCAGCTTTTTGGGCGGCCGTACCGGTCTGTTGTTTCTTCTTCCATGTCGTGGATGTCCCTCTCTGGATGTTGGCATCAAGATGGATTCAGGTGTTAATTTGACGGTTGTCACCTCGTTGCAGTGCTTGCACCCCCCCTCCTTTGACTGTCTTTCACCCCTTCCCTCCCCATTCTTGAAGCGAAAGCTCCTTCCTCTCTCTCGGGGCTTCCCTGAGCCCTGCGCAGAAGGCCCTTGTAGGAACTGTAGGTTGTCTTGTTGAAACGGTCGACCCGAGCAAAGAGGAAGTAGAGTTGCCCATCCGATTTTTTTTAAATTTTTTAAATTTTTTTCCTTTTCCTGGAGTTTCATCGGAGGTTGGAGAGCTTTTCATTTGAAAAAAGAAGCTTGCTAGTAGAGATTTGTGCCCGCATTAACACAAATAAGTCCTTATTTATACGTACAGAATTCCTGTTTTGTTGTCTGAGCCTCGGGAAAGAATGTCTGAAAGCAATAGCAGCGACAAAGCGGTGAAATTCATCGCCCCGGCCCCCCCTGCTCCTCCTCCTTCTGCCTCTCCCTGTCCATCATCCCAGACCCCCCATGAGAATGTGAACGGCTCTGCCAGTTCAGACTTGCTCGAGGTGGACCAGCTCAGTGTGCAACCCGAGGTCCAGCGTCGGCGCCACACCATGGACAGAGACTCCAGAATAGCCGAGCACCGGTTCTTCCGCCGAAGTGTCATCTGTGACTCCAACGCCACCGCTTTGGACCTGCCCAGCAAAGCTGCTGTGATCCTCACCTCGCCACCGGACTGTGAAGGGCCTCCCGCCTTCTTCCTCCTGCCGCCCTCAGGTCCTGGACCCGGGGCACAAGACGCCGAAGGCGGGGATGTCCCGAGAGGCCCCCATGTGCAAAGCTCGGCCCTTCAGCTTGGTCTCGGCGGAGCAGTCGTGGAGGGGCACGTAGAAAATGCCGAGGAAGATTCAGGTGAGGGCGGCATCACGCTCGCTGTTCCCACCATTAGCAGTGTTGTTCAAGAACTTAGTGCAGGCGGAGCATTAAACGAGCCCACCCCGACAGTATTGGATGTTACCGACAAAACGGTGGGCAAGCAGCCCGACGTCACATTGCGTCCCAGAGGGTCGGAGGACCCCCGACAGGTGGCAAAGGACGGAAAAGTGGTAGAGCGTGTGGATAGCGTTAGTAGTCTGACCAAGGAGACGGAGGAGGAGAGGGAGCTGGCGAAGATACGGGCAGAGCAGAGGGAGGCCGAGAAACGAGTGCAAGAGGATATAGAGGAGGTGGAGACAAAAGCGGTGGGGACGTCACCGGATGGGCGCTTTCTGAAATTTGACATCGAGATCGGAAGAGGGTCCTTTAAGACCGTGTACAAGGGACTGGATACAGAGACTACTGTGGAAGTGGCATGGTGCGAGCTCCAGGTGAGTCCAGACTCGTGAAACTGTCCCCTCTTCAGTGTCTATGCCCTGTCTCTTCATCTGGCTCCGATTTTAATTAAATGTCACTTTGTGGTTGTCCCGGAGGTGTCTGGGTTCCATCTGCGTGCTGAATTTAACCTCTTTTTTTTTTCCTAAATGATGTCTTGCATGTCCTATTTTTACCGTGAGATGGTGGAGTCACTGATGTGTGAGAACTTCCTGCTCAACCAGGTGCTTTTCTGTGGAAATGTTGACAGAGTGATATCATAATCTGATCCGGGACTGAGATACTGGTGCATGTTACATCCTGGATGAAGCGCGCGTTAGAAGTTTTGATTTTTGATGCATTTCAGATAAAGCGTGACTAGTTTATAAGGGCCGTAGTCCCGACTGTTTCAGCAAAGGGCAACAGTGAAGACAACATTTTGAATCGGATGCTTTCTATCAACATGTTTGGTTGTTATTCAGAGCAGAAACAATACGGTGGTTCATGCTCAGAACTTGTCCTTAACGGGAATACTTTAGTTTTGAATCAATTTTGTAGTTGCTTTGCGTTTAATTGCACGTTTAACCCTTGTGTGTCTTGAGTGAGCGGATGGGATTGCTGTGCTACACTGACATCACAAAGTCATACTCGTTATATGTGACAATGTTTCAATATTATTTATTGTCATTGCAGAACAGGGTTGCACATAAAAATGCAGTTTTTAGTCTACGTTTGCTACATAAGAAAACGACCAAAGTTGATTACACATGGAGGATGATTTAAGGAGTCTCACAGTCTGAGGAAAGAACCTGCTCTGAAGTCTGCTAGTACAGCAGCTGCTGCTTCTGTTTGACAGATAGCAGCAGCTCAGAGTCTCTGGTATTAAAAAAAGTGTGTGAAAGGATGATGTGGTGCATCCTGTTACCACCACCACAAGTAGCCTAAATGAGTCTCACCTGCTGGTGTCAGTTACTGTATGGTGGCAGGTTACGTCCCAGTCGCTCCAGTATAGTTTCTCCGTGGCCATAACCTGACTGGTCGCACCGGGCAGCTCCCAATCAGCTCATATAGATGGATGCATAAAGGTCAACAATTAAGACGGAATCTTGCACACCGTGTGAAACAGGAGCCCGGACGACATAGTTCACCACAGGATGCGGTTGCTGCATTATGGTGCTGCAGAAGTTGCTGTGTGTGTGTGTGTGTGTGTGTGTGTGTGTGTGTGTGTGTGTGTGT